TTATCGTAAGTGTTGGACTTGTATAAAACTACAGTAGCAAAATTATTTTTGATGCTTCCAAAGTAACGTAAGTCCAACTACAAAAAAACTGAAACTATTTTGAAGAAAAATCATTACTTTACTTCAAACACTCATCATAATACGTCCGGATGCCAATTTTCACTTCAATTGGACATTTCTAAACACGTTTATTGAAAAAACTGCCGTACTGTAAAATTTACTAAACGAGACTTACGATGTTATGGCAAAAAGGTATCGATATGATATATCTACGATATAAATTATATTTATACAATGTATACTATTATTGACTTGGTAAATGAAAACTTCATAACATTGCTTCATTTGAATATATGTTTCTATAGTGACTTCAATTTTTGTGTAAAAAATAAAACATAAAACGTAAAACCAGAGTGACGAATTCTAAAAAGGAGCTCATACAAAATATCGATTATTTTTTAAGATAATATACTGACTGAGAATACTCAGTTGGATTTCATATGAAACTGAGGGAATATTCAAGAACGATAAATGATTAAATACCAAGTGGTATCAAAGGTGACAAACGAATGGAGGGGCAGATACAATAACGAGCTAGAGTCTCTATTCGGAAAAGAAAATCTATTCAGATATATTAAAGGCCAATGTACTCAGATGGGCAGGGCATGTGATACACATTAACGACAATCGCCTTATAAACAATGTATTCTGGGAAAGGCCAGATGGAAGAAGGTCTGTAGGGCGGCCTGGAAAAAGGTGGAAAGATGAAGTCAGAGAAGATCTAGAGAAGTGCGACAATGGGAATTACTGGCACTAGACCGACAAACATGGAAGGCAATAGTAAACGCGACAAAGACTCACGAAGCTGACAGAATAAAAATAGCTGCAGTAATAATAGATATGGCGAAAATTTCACCGAGTGATTGTCGTTATAATTAATCTTCCACTTATTATCTATATAGATAAAAAGAAATAATAATAAGACTTACTTACAATCAATTTATTCTAGCACTAACGACCGATTTCGCATGCTATTATTTTCCATGCATCTTCAGGTCAACGGTACATGGTAAACTAAATGCTGAAAATATAATAACCCGTATTAGGGTATTGTGTAGTACAAAATATACAGCAATTGTGTTTAATTATTAAATATCACTTTAATATCATTAATTTTAAAGCAAAAGTTGGGCTCCATTCAATCATTTTCTTTTCCATTAAACTGGGAATAAGCCACAATTAAAGATAAAAATACGTTTATTGACGTTTCAATTTCCATTTCGGAAATCGTTCTCAAAATACAAACAGTAAATTAAACAAATTTTGTTTTTTGTTACATAGTGAAAAATTCTTCTAATAATTTAATTTTATCTGACTCATTTATATTGACAATTCAGACATACATTATGCATTTTAAAGTAGACGACTTTAAAATGATATTGCCAATATTGTTGAGTTGCGCTCCTGGGACGACTTTACGTATAAGATAGTTCATTCGATTACATGAAATCAACTTTAACTTGAGAATATCCGTCAGAAAAAAATCATAGCATGTAATTCGTCTTTAAAAAGACAAACACATGACATGATAACAGTAAAATTCTCCTGTTAGTGATTCCATAGTAAATTATGAGGGAAAACCAGGAAAAAAACCTCATAATACTATCCCGACATTGTAAGTATTTGTTCTTGAATTTAGTTTACCTTCAACAAACATCAAAATTCTGATTTTATATGTTACGTTATTTAAAAAAAAAAAACATAAATGATGTATCCTCTATATGTTACTGACTTACTAATACTGGTATTTTGTTATTAATAACTTCCTAATTCAATATTGGTAACCAGATGAATGAAATATCTTATAAGTAAAGTCGTCCCAGGAGCGCAACTCAACAATATTGGCAATATCATTTTAAAGTCGTCTACTTTAAAATGCATAATGTATGTCTGAATTGTCAATATAAATGAGTCAGATAAAATTAAATTATTAGAAGAATTTTTCACTATGTAACAAAAAACAAAATTTGTTTAATTTACTGTTTGTATTTTGAGAACGATTTCCGAAGTGGAAATTGAAACGTCAATAAACGTATTTTTATCTTTAATTGTGGCTTATTCCCAGTTTAATAGTAATTAATTTACAATGCCACAAGAAAATAGCTTCAGAACAATATTCTCTTTTCCATCTGCTGTCGCTAGTTCTTCTTACATGTTCATACCACTTTAGTCTTTTTTGTTCTACAGACAGTGTCTCACTGTTGGGCAAATATGATCAAATATTTTTTTGCAGGCTAATTATGGATCAAACAAAAGAAAAATTGGAAATTGCGCAGGGGAAACAATGAGAGAAACAGTAAGTCTGGTCAGAGAAGCAGGACCTTTGAGAAAAGTAGCTGCTTTGAAAGACATTTCAGACATTGGCTAGATATGTTGAGAAAGCCAAAGACGTTGACGATATTAGTCAAATACGGATGAATCCCAACAATAGTTTTAATACAATATTTACATACGCAGAAGAAGATTCTCTAGAAAACTATATCATAAACTACTCACGCATGTTGTATGGGTTGTTTGTTGACGATTGTAGAAAACTTGCCTATGAAATGGCAATAGAAAATAAAAAGAAAATTCCTGTCAAATGGCATGAAAGAAAAATAGCAGGGCTGAAATGGATGAGAGGTTTTCGCCAAACACATGTCGCGTCGTGCCCCCGAAAGATACCTATAGTTTATTCCGTGCGACGTCATTTAATAGACATAATGTTTCAATTTTTTACCAAAATTTGAAGAATATAAATATTCAAGAACTGATGCGTTTGCTGACGGAAGAAGAACCTACAATTTGGATGAGACTGCGACTACGACGGTTCAAAAATCAGCAAAGGTTGTTCCTGAGAAAGGAGTGAAGCACGTTAGCAAGGTAACAAGTGGAGAGAGAGGTACATCGGTTACTATTTGTTGGATTGTTAGTGCCAGGGGACAATAGCTACCACCAGCAATGGTTTTTCCTAGGATGCATCTAAAGGAGCATATGCTACGAGGCTCCCCATCAGGAACTTTGGGGCTTGCTACTCCAAGTGGTTGAATTAATGCTGATCTTTTTTTAGACATAATGTAGCATTTTATAAAATATTCTAACAGCTCTAAAGAAAATCCATCGCTTTTAATCTATGACAATCATGAAAGTCATCTTGGTATTCGTGTTCTTAATTTGGCAACGGAGGTTAAAAGCACGAGAACGCCAAACTAAAAATACGCGAATAACGGACAAAAGTGTTATAGCTACTGACACACCCAAAAAATATGTCATAGAAAAACGAAGCATTACGAAGAAAAGAAAAATTGATAAAATCGGAGTGAAAAAGGTAGAAAAGGTCAAGAAACAAATATTTGAAGATAGTTCTGAAAGCTCAGAGAAGGAACTTGAACTTGGTTCATCCTCAGGGGATGACTGCTACTATAAAATCAATCCAGATGGATTTGAGGAGCTTCATAGAAAGCCCATAGAAAATGATTTTGTGCTCGTGGAATTTCCTGGAAAATTGGAGGAGAAGAAAGTGTATTATGTTGGAAAAGTCCTGAAAATAAATGAGTCAGAAGACTATGAAATTTCGTATCTTAGAAAATAAACGAAGGGCAGCAGCAAAATTGTATTTCCCAATCTTCCAGATGAATCTATTGTTGCTTTAAAAGATATCAAGCTCATTATGCCACCCCCAATTTCTTGTGGGCACACTAGCCAACAGGTGGCTTCTTTTATGTTTGAGATAGATTTTGGATTAATGAACATTAGGTAGATACATACCTAGATATTATATTTCTATGTTTAATCATTTTTTTTTATGTTCTGTATCTTTTTTTTTTTGTTTATTTTATAAGTATCTTTTGTGTTCAATAAATATGATTTATAAACTATGTTTGCAACAAGCAGTCTCAAAATTATGTTATGAGAATGATATATTAATCTCAATAATAATATCCTCAATAAACTTTTTCAAAACACAACAGCCTAAATAAGATTTTTTGACATGCTAGATTATATATTTTCATTTATTTTTCCTGTCTCATTGTTGTATTAAAAGTGTCTCACTTTAAGGCATATGAGTCCTACAGATCGACAAATGCACCTATCTATATTCTTGCAAAAAAAATATCAAACTTCAAAATCCACTAGGAAACTAAGTTCCTGTAGCTGGCTGTATACCATATATCACAAAAAATTTATTTAAAATCCTTTATAAAAGGTATATAATAAAATGCCCAAACGGGCTATCACAAAAATATTGCAAAACGTTTTCGGATTGTTAAATCCATCATCAGTGCAAACAAGGTATACATGATATGAGCCACCAAAATATATGGGTCAAAACCCTTTAAATGATATAAATTTACATTTGTTTTACATTATATGTGGTTACAAATTATGATGTTTAAGTTACCGTTGGAATTGGTAACATGCGGCGACGTATGACCCTAGGTAAAATGGTACTGAGACGAAGTGTCTTCGAGGGCCTGTTGATAACAACTCCTGAGTTGTTATCAAAAGTCTTCCGAACTCTTCGAAACATTGCCCTCCACCCAGGTATCTGATGGTGCTCCCACTTTCAGACTATCAGAGGTGTGGATTTTCACTCGGGGATGTATTTCCGTATTTGGCTTTTTCATCTTCTTGCTTGGAGTATTTCCGATTTATTTCGTAACTTTTAAATGATCACGCACGGGTTAAGAACCATAGACTCAACAATATATATTGAGAAATGATTGGCAACAACATTGATAATGGTAATGACATAAATAATGCGCATTGACATCAAGATTATGCAAAATTTCCTAAATGCCAACCACCGGCATTTAAGTATAAAATCCACATCTACTTAATTATGATTTATTTTCAATGAATCGTTATTTAATAGTACAAAAATTTCATATTATTGTAAAATATTAAATTATACTAAAACTTAATAAACAGATACTTATTAGGATATATTATTATTGAAATCAATTTTTGCATTTAGTTGCGCAATTTCCCCTTTTTTGCGTCGTCTTTGGTTGAAGAGCTGCAAAAAATGAAATTTCTGTTAGAAAACAAAAAAATTAGTAAAAAACTAAATTATTTTGAGACAATAACAATATTAAGAAGAAACGATTGTTTCTTATATGCTGCAATCAAGCTGAAATTCAATTTCAATAATTAAAATTGATGTTTCTACTAGCAGGCGCCATCTAGTTGTAATATTCTGAAATAGTGCAACATCGCAATTTGTGGCATAGCAGAAAAACACACAAAAACGCAATTTTTGTTGCCTATCACTTTTTTCCACGAGTCTATAGGTATAGGAACTTGAGGAATGGTTTAACAGATCATCTGCAACGCTTTTCCGTGCAGATTTAAGAATTTTGAGAAATCATTTAATGTTTATGAATTACTCTTGTATGGTCTGTTTTTTATCGAAGAATTAAAATTTTGTTTTTACGTGCCATGAAGAGAAATTCAAAATTTTCAACAGTGAGAAGCATATTACGCAGCTGGGAAGGAATTTTGCCCCAATGCTCCAGATAATGAATATAAGAAACGCTAAAGTTTTAAATCTATTTGGTTGGCCAACATATTAGTAACTGGAGAGAGAAACTAGATATTTTATCGTTATAATAGTGTAAACATCGATAAATAACTACTTACCAACTATATCGTTTCCTATCTCTTTGAACCGTTTTCCTTCTAATTCCCTTCTGACACATTCTTGAAACGTCAAAGCTGCTATTCTTCTAAACAAATTATCAACGTTTTTTCCAGTTTTGGAAGATATCGCCCAGTATTCGGCATTCAGTTTCGTTGATACACGAATGGCGCATTCTTCTATATTCTTATACGCGTATGTTTTCTGTAAAGATGTTTTTTTTTAATATTTTATTGATGTGATCTTAAATAATTACTAAAATTTTGGTGCATATAATGTAGTTTCAAATGTTTCAATTGCACAAAAATATGTGTTTTGTCGTTTATTCTCAATATTTTAAGTATTTCTCCCAAACAAACCTTAACTTGGATTCCAAAGTTTGCGAGAAGATAAAAGTTACTGAAAATGTTAGAGTTCACTGAAAATTTAACCACTGTTCAATTGAGTACGTTAAGAATCGGAGGTAAATCTTAATTTATATCCTTTTTAGAGTGAACTCTTATGTCTTCACAAATTATCTATTTTAATGTCTGTTGGTGATCCATTTCTTCAGTTTTTCCCGTCGGTACTCATTGCTTTCATTACTTCGATCATCATTCCCCTTTTTTCTCCAATTTTGTTTATTATCTGTGCATTTTTCCTTATTATTAGTATTTCTCCCAAACAAACCTTACCTTGAATTCCAAAGATTGCGAGAAGATAAAAGTAACTGAAAATGTTAGAGTTCACTGAAAATTTAACCACTGTTCAATTGAGTACGTTAAGAATCGGAGGTAAATCTTAATTTATATCCTTTTTAGCGTGAACTCTTATGTCTTCACAAATTATCTATTTTAATGTCTGTTGGTGATCCATTTCTTCCAGTTTTTCCGGTCGGCACTCATTGCTTTCATTACTTCGATCATCTTTCCCCTTTTTTCTCCAATTTTGTTTATTATCTGTGCATTTTTTTTCTCTGTTTTTTTTTCTTTTTTTGCTTCACTTTGATTCTATAACCCTGTTAGTTACATTATTTTGCTTTTTCCTGATTAGGCTATTAAAGGGTTATCATTATAACTCGCTACCTTGGAAGAACACCGTCATATGTCAAAATGTGACAATTTTCAGAAATAGCTATTTAACAAGTCGATAAATTTTAAAAATTTGTATATAATAATATCTAAAATATATCATAACTGGAAAATTTATGGTTAATTGTTAATTAATTGACTTACTATGAGATCTCTTTTGGTTCCTACCACGAACAAATATGGCGGTTTTGCTGAAAATGTCTGCGATGCCTCCATTAACCACGTGTGACAGTTATGAAGAGTATCTGGTTTTGTAAGATCGAACACAATTACCACAGCTAAAATAACAAACAAATTGTAAAAAATTATGTTATTGTTGGTGTGATCAGATCAAAAATGAAATATTTGACTGAGTATCTCTGCTATTACGATGCTGAAATAGAATATTAAATTGAAAATTGCGTAAACCAGAACCTGAACCAAAAGGCAAACGAATCTTAAAGCATAAATACATTACTTACCATTTGAACCTCGGTAATAAGATTGAGCTATCGATTTAAATCTTTCCTGGCCAGCTGTATCCCAACTAAAATATAATTACATTAAATGTTAAAGATCTATTTCATTTTGGAATACATATAAATGATTTAAATCATTTATTTTATAGCCTGTTCCTATTTCTCTTAACACTCCAAATTTCTCCAAAAATATCATCTGTACTTAAATATGTACAATAAAAATTAGCCCTTTATACTTAATACTACCGCCTGATTTCGATTGAATTCACCTACCATTATGCAAATGGTTTAAATACAGTTTTAATATTGTTTAATTTTACATATTTAATAATATTTATCTTTAACTTTATACTCACATTTGCAAAGCAAATGGAACATTCAATATTAAAAAATTTTCAACTTCGAAATCCACTCCAATTGTCGCTTTGTAGTTGCCATCAAATATCTTCTTACAAAACCTAAACATTATAAAATACAATTATTACAGTTTTCTATAATAAAAATATACCAATTTTGATAAAATTAAATCAAAAAACTAAAGTCCCATCCATATTCAATAAAATAAATCATAATTATACTTAATTATCATAAATTTTATATAAAATCGAAGTCATTTTTATATTCCAAGATTTCATTATTATAATATTTTATATTTAAAAGAGATTGTAAAAAGTTAACTACTTTTCTAACTTCATCTATATATGCAACACTTAACATATAAACGCAATCCTGGTTGCCTGCTATCAAATAATTCAAAGGCGATACAAACACTTTGTTTTTGGAAAATAAAACAATAAAAGAAAATAACAATATATTAACTAGTACAACTATTACTACTAGTATTTTATAAATATTTTTTACCTGTTTACCAAACATGTTTTTCCTACAGACACATCTCCTATCACAATTATTTTACTCATCATTGTACCGTCTGCAATATTATTTAATGATGTATCTAATTTTGAATTAAATGTTTGTGTAACATATGGAGAACACCTGGTTAAAAACGGAGAAGGAATTTTGTCTATTACGCGATCGGCAGGAAATTCAATATTTGTATTTATATAACGAGTTTTAGACATTCTCGAAACTTTTGAAACAGATTGGTAAATGTTTTGTTTGTATTGAAAAGTTTATTTTGATACAACTACGTTCATTTGAATAATTATACCTACAAACTGGGTAAACGGTTTATCAGATATGCACATGTGCATAAATTAGTTTTACCTACTAACAATGTGATAATTATTTAAATGTTATTTTCAATTTTAGGTTCCACCGAAGTAGAACAAATTGATAAAGAAATTCAAGTATACCGCCAAAAACTTTATTGTCATTTCCGTTGGTCCGTCAAAAGTGTCAACACGCTTAGGTTAACTTCCTTTTAGTGATTATCTTTGTAAAATGGCACCTACGAAGCCAAAAGCAGCGGATAAATCTGGTTAGTATCCTTTATTTTTATAAATAATGAACTAGTTTAACCATAAATAAGTTAATACTAACTATCTACTTTCGATTTTCCCCCAAAAGGGTTTTATTTTATCTCTTTGTTATTAGAAAAAGTAGTATTTATATGGCCACGCGGTGATATCCACATGTTACTAATTTATTAACATCTGAACATCTCTAGTAACTATTAGTTGTTGTGTATATCTTAACCGTAGTCAAATTGTGTATTATTTAACTTATTTTAGTAGTCATGAGGCATGTATATGCGTAAACATTTGAAGGTTATGTTCTTATGTTTTTATTATATTTTTAGCCCCCAAGAAGGAAGAAAAGAAGAAGCCTGCGGCCGCACCAGCAGCAGGAGCTGCTGCTTCTTCTTCAAGTTCAAAAACACCCGCCCCAGCTCCAAAAGCAGCAGCCAAAGCTGCAAGTAAACCAGCTGACAAAAAAGCTTCTTCCTCAAAAACCCCTGCGCCAGCACCTAAGGCCGCCTCAGCCAAAAGCTCTGCAAAAGCACCAGCTGCTGCCCCTAAACCAAAAGCAGCTGCTGCTAAAGCTGGAAAAGCTGCAGGCAAAGGTGCTGCCAAACCCGCAGCCAAGGCTGCAGGAAAGAAACCAGCTGCTGCTGGAAAGGCCAAGGCTCCCGCAACTCTTATTGCTAAGCCCAAGAAAAATGTTCCAGTTAAACAACAACAGAAAGGTGTTGGCAAAAAGCCAGCTGCCAGTGCAGTACAAGTAGCGAGAGCACTTAAAATCCAAAAGAAAGTAAGTAGTTTTGATTTAATTATTAAAAAATTGTTCATGTATGACAGTGTATAGATGTGAAAAATGTCCCCTATTTCATTGATTTGTATAAACCACACAATTGTTCATTTCTACAAAAGTCCTTTCATCCACTAGTATAATGCTGATAAATGAAAGATTTTCAGTTTTTTAAATATGGACACATTTTACTCATTCTAGAAAATAATGTACCATTACTACAGATATTTTTAAGAGCGTAGGTGCAAAATTTCAGGCCAATGCTTTTTGAGTGTATTAATTTTTTTTGAATCGTGAGAAAACTAATAAATATTTTTGAAAAATTTAATCTCAGAATGAAAGAATATAGTATTACTGAGGGCTGAAAGTCCCTGAAGCTTCTGTAATGTGTATTTCAATAAGTTACAAGGGTGAAAAAGAAGAGAAAATTTAGTGTGATTTTTAATTTCAAATATCTCAATCAAAAAATTTTTTGTTTATTCTAAGGGACTTTCAGCCCTCGGTAATAATGTAATCTTTCATTCTGTGTTTAAATTTTTTAAAAATATTTGTTAGTTTTCTCCGGATTAGAAAAAATTAATGCATTTAAAAGCATTGCACGAAATTTTGCACCACACTCATAATTGGTTGGAAATGTTCAAATATCAATGCATTGTGTGATAGATCTTTGAATTTGACTTGATATGGTCTGTTATACCCTTTATATCGTCATCTAAAAACTGCATATTCATAAGATGAATTATTGAAAAATTTCTGTATATCAAATTTCTAGTTTTTTTGCAGTTTTCAAATATTTCTTAAAGTCATCCTCAGTATGTTGATTTTTTATTATATGTATGTGATTTTTGTTTTCATAAATAGGTATGTTTCTATACTCAATTCTCATGTAGATCTTTAATAAATATGTTCGCTTAAATTTATATAAAAATGACATTCATCTGACTTGTATGTATTTTATGTTTTTTTCTATAGCTTTATAATATTTAATATGAAATTGTGTGTTACTTTTAGTACAACTTTAAGTAGTACAAGAACTTTAAATACAATTTTATATTTTCGTAATCTTTCAAATGTGTATAATTTGTTATTAATGTACTTCCTACTGTGTACCACTTAATTTACATGCTTTTTGTAAAGAATGACTTAATTTTAATAAAGCAATTTACTATTTTTGTTGGGAATAAGCCGCAATTTTGACTTTGGAAATAATTCTCAAAATACTTCAATCATGGTAGATTTTTCATTATGTTGTAAACTGATTAAATTACCAAAATGTAACTATGAAACATAACAATTTCATTTAGGTATGCATATGCAATATTTATTATGATACAAATGTATCCACCATAACATTTGCTGTATCAAGCATGTGTAATTGACGTTAAGATTGAAAATATTGTTTTCTTTTAGGTTATTAAAGGCCCCAATGGAACACACTCAAGAAAAATCCGTAACTCTGTCCACTTCCGCCGCCCTAAGACCCTTAGACCACCCAGGAGTCCCAAATACCCAAAGAGGAGTGTGCCCCACAGATCACGCATGGATGCTTACAATATCATCAAATTCCCATTGACTACAGAAGCAGCCATGAAGAAGATTGAAGATAACAACACTTTGGTATTTTTAGTTCATACGAGGGCAAACAAACACCACATTAAGGCTGCAGTTAAGAAATTGTATGATATCAATGTAGCCAAGGTTAACACCTTAATTAGGCCTGATGGTAAAAAGAAGGCATATGTAAGATTAGCTAGGGATTACGATGCTCTAGATGTTGCCAACAAGATTGGCATCATATAAATAAATATCTTAGCTTGTTTTATTTTTTGACATAATAATAAATAAGTTGAGAATAAAGTTTTTTAGTTTGAGTTATCCCTGTGTTTCTTTTCTTCAACTAGTTACTAGAATCAGCATATTACATTCTCGAATAAGTTCATTGATTTGATTCACCTTAGATCTAACATTGCGTTACTATAACATGTTAGGGAAACTATGAAAATTGTAAGATAATACTGTAGTGTATTCACAAAATTGTAGTGTTTAGCAGCTTCGAATGATGCCAGAATAATCAAATAAATTTCTCCAAACATTTTAAAAAAATTTGACATGACCTTAACCACTTTCAGCCCCAGGTAAAAGAACATCCATAAGCTATGTCATAAAGAAAAGGGAGACTTTGCTTATTATGATGGTTTAAAGTTGGATCATGAGTTGCAATTATGACATCAACATGAGGGAAGACCTCGATACTTTATGACGAACATGCAGGAGTGTATTAAAAAGTCACAAATGTTTCACCATATAGTTTATGGATGTTCCCTAAGTAGTTTGGATCTCAAGTGAAGAGGTATTATGGAATGTAACATGAAGCAAGGTAGTAAAATTATTCTAGAATGTATGGAATTCATGAGAGAAGAGTTTAATTTAATCAGTCATTTTTAAATGGGGTCACTTCCACTTATTTTAAATTTACAGGAGAGATCAAAACATCTTACCTTTTGAATGCTAATAGCAAAGAATATAGACGCTTATAGAAGAACATTTCAAATGGACGATTTGGTTAGGGTTTACACTTTAAAACACATCTGGCAGTCGGCTTAAACTATCTCATAAAAGATGTAATTAGGGGAAAGTGGGAAAGGAGTACGAACGGAGGAGCTATTTATTTAACTTTGCATCTACGATTAAAAAAAATCCCATGCTTTTTTTTGTTTTTTTTTTTTCACAATAAAATCTTTATTTTCAATATATTAAATTGTTAAATTTTGAAATTTAAAAAGGTATGATATTTACAATATTCAAGCATTTATTTTTTACATTTTATACTTTGAATTAAAAATAGGTTTGTTCCAACACAACGAAAAAACCGTCACATAAATTTTTTATTATAACTGTTTTTCTGCCCAAAAATTTGATTTTCTCAGGACTTTTCATTAAACTTTTTAGACATGTTTCCATTATTCTGCAGAAAAAAACAGTGTTGTGTTTTACATTTTATGTTATTTTAATATTAAAAACAAAGAAGAAATTATTAAATTTAGAAAATTTGGAAATATTTAATTCCGGTGATTGATGACTTCATTGGTTGAATTAATTTTATAGTTAATAAAAAGAGAGTTCTTCTTGTTAACTATAATATTATTTGTAGATTTGTACCTATTTTAAATTAAAAATTCGAATCATAATATTTTTTTCTAATATGATTCATTTATTAAAAGTTAAAATATTATTATTTTCTTTAAAAAATATTATAAAACGCAAAAATTTAATCCTATTCTACGGCCATGCGGCATTATGTGTTCCTAGTTCTCTGGCATTATACATAAAAATATCTGTTGCATTTGTTGCCCCACTCTTTCATATTTTAAAAGTAATAATAGCGTTGACATGACCACTCCCTTCTCGATCCACCCTCTCATTCTTTTTCATAACGTGCGATCATCTTTTGCAAACTTTCAAACGTAACAGTGAAAGATTCTTCTATAAGCGTCTATATTCTTTGCTAATAGTTTTTAAATTTTAAGACCTAGAAACCGAAATTTTTAAAAGGATGGCTCATTTTCAAAATGAACAGATATTAAAAGTAAAAAGTTATACAATATGACTATTGTTTATTGAAAACTTTTACACTAAATTTAGAAGAAAATAATAAACAAGTTTAACTTTCAGCTTGGTGTGTTTCCTTTGGTCTGCAAAGATTTGTTCACGGAATTAACATAAGAGCAAAAGAATTTAATATGACAATCTCATGTAAAAAAAAACTAAAACAACAGCAGTCAGCAAAGAACCCAAGATGTAAAATAGAAATTGATGGAATCAGTATTGAACAAGTAATGGAAATTAAATACCTGGGAATTACACTGCCCAGCTATGGAGACCTGAAGAAGTGAGGGATCAAGTACAAAAAGCAAATAGACTGGCAGGATACCTTAATAACACTACATGGCAAAACAGACACATTAGCACTGGAGATGAAGCACTGATTAAGAATTTATAAAGCCAGTGTAAGCCCAATAGTGACATATGCCTTAGAAACAAGACCCGACACAGCCACAACGCAAAGGCTACTGGAAACAGCAGATATTACTGGGAAGAATTACAGGAAATACGCTAAGAGATCGAAAGAAGTGAAGTCATTGGAATGTACAGTGTATAAACGAATGGATAATAAATAGAAAAAAAAAAGAATAGAATAACTATAATGGGGGAGACAATGTCGTCAAAATAGGAAAAGATGACCGTCACCAATCGGCAGAAAAAGTATCGGATGACCGCACAAAAGATGTAGTGACAACCTTCCATAGAGGTACTCATCCGCCAACAAATAAGTAGAATTGCTTAGAAGACTTTCTCTTCTGATGGAATATCACTTAGTATATCTCCTCATTGATCATAGAAACCCTGATTTCATTCTCATCCAGCCCTGTTTGAGAAATATACATACACACACAACTTGCAATACTTCTTTATCAAGTATTTTTCAATTCACGATCAACAATTATACCAACACCATTCTTAGTGTTACTTTTGCCCAAATATAGCAATTTGTATCTTTCACCTAGTGCTGTACTTTGTCTTTTCACCTAGTCTCTTGAATATAAGCAATTTGTATTCTCCTTACTCAACACTCTTACCTGTAAGACTTTCAAGTCCCTATCTTAATTTTTCTAATCTGTAACGATTGTTCCCAACTTCCAGAAACTCTAAACAAGATATATGGCTTCAAACATTTCTTCACGAGACTGCATCATCAGGTAAATAATTACTTTTGCTATAAGGATTTTTTTTTATATAGGTCAGGTTTAAAGAAAAAGACTAGTTTTAGTTTTTTGGGTTTATATGTCAATCCAAAACATTATATATATTACAAGTATGTCTTATGTACAAAACGCTAACTATGTAAATATAATCTAAAAACAAAACTACCTAAAAATAAAAAGGTTAATAACATATGAATAACGCTCTTAAATAACTAAGTAGATACTTGAAATGATAGGTCAAGTCAGAAAATGGAAATAATCAAAACTTATCGAACACATTTTTATCCTTAATTCAGTTAGCCACAAATTTAAAACACTTGCTGTGACTTAGAGATTATATTTGCTTCAATACCTTCTTTAATCGGGCTTAACAAAATAGTAATTATTTATCAAAGCTATACAAAAGTATTGTTTGGTATAAAGAAATAAATCAAATAATTTCATCATGAAGTTGAAATAATTGGTCGCTTAGTATGTTCCATTTTGTCTTGTTAAAATGTATCTTTGTTACATATTACTGTACAAAGTCGACAAATGGACTCTAAAAATAAAATGAATGGAAGATTTCGAAATGAGGATACTGCAAAGAATATTAAACACCTCGTGAACAGAATGAAACATGAATAAAAATGTTTCACTCGATGTGAACTGATAAAAAGAACTTGGAGGCATTATTAAATCAACCAAAATAGTTATGCAAGATATATTTAACCTTCTACATTTCATAATATTGAAGAAAAAAATACTCTTGGCCAAAGATGAGTCGAAATAAAACGAGAAGAAGAGTTACGACCATTTCCATCCGTAAGTAATTAAGCAACAATGATAAATACCCAGAAAACTCTTACGTGACTACGATTTTGACACTTTTAATAGAAGTTCCGCATTATTTACATAATAAATATATGATTAATTCACTTATATAACTATATAGGTATCAATAAATAAGAGCAAGTCGTCTTATAAAAAAATAAAATAAAAAAATACAGCAATTATAACGTATTTACCTCCCGACACGACAAATTTGAGATCGATCTTCATAGTTCGATGGTAAAATTGTGTGCAAGGGAAGAAATTTGGAGAAACTTTAATAAAAAGAAAGAATATCATTGGTAGTAACTTTAGATACGGTAAAATTGTGATTTTTAAAAAAATTACTTATAATTCTGCAGATTCCAGAAAATTCTATATTCTACAAAAGAAAAATTTAACTCAAAAGAGAATGATTCAATTTAAACGTATTTGATTGAACATTCTGATCTATTATCCTTGAAAAATGTTTCATTATTGATTTTAAGGACTTATCTAGATTAATGTAGTAAAGAATTTATCACCATTCTGGCTTTAAAACCTTGCATGGGTTCTACCCTTCTCAATGCATATCCATGACCTTCTCCTCCAAGCATGTTTTTTCTAACGACTTCATCGATATTATCAAGGAACCTTGGTTCCTTGATAACTGTTAGGATTGGGCGTATTATTGTTTTTTATAGTTTTACCTATTTGTTTCTCGATATAATCTAGGAAGAAGATTAAGCCCAAAATAACCAAAATAACATCTGTTGGCTTTGTATATTCTGCGGTAGTATTATTAATTTAGAGTATTAACGAACGATTTGTAAATCCAAGATATACAAATTCGTTCCCCGCTTCGATTACGTCATTTTCTATAATAAATCTAATTCATCCAGATGAATTACCACCTGACTAGTTTTCATTATATAGTATTTTCAAAAGTTCGTTTACAGTATAACTAAAATTGAGCCTCTTCTTATGTCATTCTCATATCCATTCGGAGGGTTTTATTTATCTTAATTTCTTTATTTGCCTTTTTCTTGCTCAGATTTGTCTCTTCGGATATCAATCTCATATCCGTCCGGCATTTTATTGATTTTCTTGACCTGATTTTCTTTATTTACCTTTTTCTTATTCAGATTTCAGTCTCTTCTTATGACAATCTCGTATCCGTTCGGGATTTTATTATACTTCTTGATCTTATTTTCTTTATTTACCCTTTTCTTGCTTAGATTTTAGTCTCTTCTTATGTTAATGTCATATCCGTTCGGGACTTTTTTTTAGTATTCTTGATCTTATTTTCTGTATTTACCTTTTTCTTGCCAAGATTTTAGTCAATCATCATACCCGTCCGGGAATTTAAGTCTTGATCTATTTGCTTTATTTACCCTTTTCTCATATTTGCTTTATTTACCCTTTTCTTGCTAAGATTTCAGTTTCTTCGTATGACAATCTCACATCCGTCCGCGATTTATTAGTCTTCTTGATCTGATTTTCTTTATTTACTTTTTTTTGTTCAGATTATTGCAGTCTTTTTATAATTTCCGGTGTTGTTAAAACCTCGCCATGAGTGGACTTTTTTAAACGGTGAACCATTTTTGGGGATACAAATCTGTTGCAGAAGTGCTTACTTCCTGCAGTTTTTGACTAAAAATATGAACAATATGGTTATTTTGATTCTGTATGGCACTGTTTCGCAAGGGTTCAAGAAACTCAAGTGTAAGTGGCATTTTTTTCAAAAAAAAAATGCAATATTTTTCTTAGGATCAAAGAAAATCTCCAGTATTTTTGGATCCTGATATATTTTTTTGGTTATACCTTTCCTCCAGACTTGCTTTAACAGTTCCTAGATATGATTCTAAAGTTTTTTAACAAACACTCTCATTATCCACTATTTTTGTTATTTCAGGTCTTTCGCTTGCCTTGGTCTTTCGTTATTTCTTTTGCTTGTTTCGAATTTCCAGATAGTCACATCTATGCTCCATTTGTAGTTCCTTCATAACTATTAGTCTACATCTCTTCTTTTTGGTAAACATTTAATAATTCAGCGATATGTTCCTTTAAATTAACATGTGATGTTAAATCATTTGACCATTCCTCCCATTCTCTGCATTTTCAGCTCTTCTTCGCCACTTTATTTCTGTCCATCGGGTCTTTTTCACCTAAACTTTCTCCCTCAAGACCTCTGTCACGAAGCCCTTCCATCTTACCCTCAGGTTTCCTCTACCTATCCTTCTATCAGTTTCTAACAGCTCTATCCTATGTCCCACATAGTTTTCATTTCTACGTCTGATATGGCCAAACCATTGATCATTTCTCCCATTGTTTCTATTAAAAATGATGTCAACAGTGGGGATCACCGACCTACTTTGTTATATTTTCCTAACACCAAGATTACCATCAAAAGATATAGTTCTCTTAAAATTAGACAATTCAAACTAAATAATTTGCATGTCTGAAGCTACTACCAACTTCTCATCATCAACAAAACCGAAGCATCAAGTCAAAAATAAAACTATATTCTCAAAGAAAAAAATAAACATCTGCGCCGTCGGTTGAAATCGAACCAAACAAATATATACAGGCTTTACCATTACCAATAAGTAAATACAACACAAAGGACAGCAATTATATACATTTTTTAATACGTTTAGATAGACGTACACAAAAAACATTCCAATAGTACAACCAGACACTAGCTGAATTCTTATGTAGAAAGCTACTAGTGCATTAAAATGAACAGTACTTCCAAAACCATTTGATTAGGTTACATTTCTGCATCAAATATATAAAATAAGCAGTCAAAGAACTACTTTATCTAAATAATGCTGGCAATACTAATGGATTTAAAGGAAATATGCCAGCCTTGTTCTCACATTCTCTGAAAATCAAATTGGAACCGTTTTGAGTACGTCTATTTCATATTTGTGTCTCAAAGAGTACGAATGGTTTGAGCAAAACACAAAGAATAGAATATTCGTAATGTAAGTAAATTGTATCAGTCAAAAATTCTTCTCCTTCACGGGTTTTAAATACGGTTCATATTATATTTGGTCCCCCATCTTTCCGAATAGTATTTTTGTCATAACAGCTACAACGATACGAAGTCAAATTATCTTTATACGAAATAGGGTATAAATAGTGTTTTCAACACTAGTACATCTATAGCTTGCTAAAATTGGAATTTTATTATGAATATCTTTTGTGGTAGATAATAAACTGTTGTATATTTGTTCTATTTGGAAAGATGGGTACATAATCAAAGCAAAGAACTGTAAACTAGGATAAAACGCTTGCAATAGAAAGTGTATTTATAAAAAGAGTGTTAAATAGTAATAAAATATTTTCTTGTTATATATAAGGGGACTAGCAGTAGTTGTTAGGGGAGCAGAAATTGTGCTAGATCAAAAATTTGCAGAAGAAAAAACAATATAGAGAAAAAATTGTCAGGATGGCAAAAAAATAGTAAAAAAATGTTAATAGTTCAAAACGAATCTTTCTAATAATATATAGTGACAAAGGCATCTCAATTTCTTCTAATTTTCAATGTTAGTAGAATGAGGATGTAAAGGAAGGTATAGAAAGATTGGGATATAAAAAAGGTTGTTAGTAATAAGGAAAAAAAAAGGTTCGTGTAGAGAAAAATTGTATGCCGCTTAATTCGCTATAAAATATATATTAAGAATAAATTATTGGTAACATCTTTCCATTATAGTTAAGTTATAGACACTTGAAGTCCAATAGACTTCCACGGTGTCATAGAATATTAATGGACCAGGAACAAATAACGCAAACAAAGATGCAGCCTCAATCAATGTAGGGTATATCGTAGTAAATTTCATTGAAGTTTTATGCATTAATCTGGTTCGAAGGACCACTATATAATTGCTACCGAACACTGTTTTACGATTAACCACCAATAGCGCTAAAGTTTTAGTGTTGTATTCGGTTACTACTATACAAAGGCAGATATGTGGTGATAGTGATGAGCAGGAAAATATTTTAAACCGTTAGCAGTAATCTTTGAAATAAGAAAAAAAATGATAAATTCTATAAACTAGTTTACAGCCCGCCTGTAGACATTTACATAATTTATATGGGTTAATTACAAAGTTAGAGAAGTGTATATTTAGAATCACATTAGGAAGCTGCAACTAGTCACTAGATGTCAGCTGTTAGTGTCACATTTACTATATTTTCTTCTTATTTCTCAATGTGGTCATTGCCGATGTTAGTTTTTTCATCTTCAACAATTAATCGATTAAAGGAACATTTTCTACTGATACACTAATATTATTTATTTTAATATCATTTAACTACATTAAGTTAGATTATATCCCATAAATAACAATTCCAAAGTCCTACCATATTTTAGATTGAAAATTTTACTCTTTTAGTATGAATTCACTTCATAATGTGACACCAAATGCAAAATTACTACACATACTTTACCTGTTTTATGTTTCGAATGAGATATTTGATGAAAAAAATGAAAATCACAATTGCAATCTTTACAAAGTGCAGTTTCGCCAAACTATACTAATAGTACAACAAAAAATTACGCCCATAGCGACTACCAACCTAAATAAAGCAAGTAAAACTTGAATGTCAGGATATATTTTATATTTGACAGTCGTGCAAACTAACCTTAAAATATTACATAAAATATTAAATCATCTAGTTAACAATATAAATCAGTTTTTCTTATAAAAGCGGGACAAAAATCGTGTCGATAAAACAGCAATTACAGCTAACTGCACTATCAGATAATTCACAATATAAAGATTAACATTATAATTGTATGAAGTTTGTTCTTTACTCACAGTTTTTCTCAATTTGTTTTCTAAAATCATTTTAATATAAACAGAGAAGACAAAATTGCTAAATCATGTCACAAAAAAATCATACAAATGATATTTTTGACAACTTCTTTCAAGAATGTCTAAATATGAACGAATATTAATTCCTAAAGGACAATTTCACTGGTACTTTCCATATTTAAAATCTATCAAGTTTTCTTGAATCTTGTATAATGCAAATAAAATCACTTTTTGGATTCATTTTAATGTCTTCTCTGCTTTTTATCGGTAATTACCACAGAATATAGCTAGTCACTGTCGAGTAGTTAAAAAATGTTTTCGAGAACTATATATAAAAATATTTTCGGTAATTAAAGAACAAACTTGTGACAATTTTTGAAAGAAAAAAATATATATAACGAGTGCTTGATTACTGGATAACCAAGTGACTAAAACAGACCCATTGTGGGTAAAAACTAAAGGGTAGCACGACGAATCATGCCGATACGCCGCCTACAGCTCCTTCTGTGATTTCCTGGCGGTGAGTCTGAGTGTCGCCCTCTTGTAGCCATTCGGCGAAACCGTTATCTACCAAGTGCTGATTTAGGAATACTACACCCTGCAAAAAACGGTTTTGTAAACGTCATGTCTTTATGAGACGGCAAAAAAAATTGTTAATTTAATTACAATTGTATATACACTGTTGGAATTCCAAGAAATGAACATACAATAAATAAAACTTGCAACGTTGCAAAATAGAAACAACATCTAATCTAACTCTCGGACTATAAACATGCACACAACAGTTTATAGCCCAAGAACGAAACTAAATATTGAAAGCTATTTGAGCAATATGAAATTTTGTATAGAAAAATTTAAACAATTTAAACTTGGTATATGCTGCTTCATGATCAGATGAAGTCCTTCATTAATAATTGTAGAGCGTACATCAAGGGGTGAGAAATCTGAGATAATATAATAAACTATGGTAGATGTTCTTGTAGTAATTCTGTAGAAGAATTATTAGCTATTGAATTGTTTCCAATGATTTTCTTTTGTTTGGGACATCTTACATATTTCCAAAAATAGACAACAGAAATGACCAAACGCGAATTAGAGAAAGCTAGAGGTCAACTGAAAATAAGTTAAAACATCATGATGATAAAAAATAGGGTTAGAAACGGACTGAATGCCAGAAATTACACAATCAAAAAAGAAAAATATATATTTAAAGACTGATAAGTACATACGAAATGAAGAGCAAATAATCAGTGAAGCTCGAATACAAAAGTAAAATAAAATGAACTTACGAAATCACAGATGACATACGATGTATGATAGATGACAAATGACGGATGACTGAAGACAGATAGCACAAGACAGGTAATACCCCACAGGTGACACAAAAACTAACGGAATAAAAAAGTAAATGACGACAAAATGAAACAATGACATTTTACTAAATACCACTACAGAAATATAGAGAAACTGAAAGAAATAAACTCAAGGCCACTGCAGCAAGGCATATCCAAGTGAGTTTGTGTAAAACTTGAAATTACGTAAACATAAATTATTTTTAAGTTTAAAATAGTCATAATAAATAAAAGAGGCAGTATATGTTAATGAAAAAATACGAATGAATTCATTAAGTGGGCAAAAAAAAGAAATAAATAAATTGACTGAAATTCCACCGATGATCAGGATTCATGAGTGCCGGAACATGAAGTGGACCAAGGCATCGACATAGCAAACTGACTTGTAAATTACGGTCTATCTAGTGTAATTGACTTGGGGACTTTGTTTAATGAATTTTAGCAAAAAATAGTACAGTCTCAAAAATGGCGACTGAACACTTTCAACTTTATTGTTTTCCGATAGAAGATTTTAAATACCTTGGAAGCTGGCTGAACATTAACAGTCACTCTGACGAGGTATAACAGATGAGTGACGGACGATATCTTTACTTTAAAAGCAATATCGATGAAGTGGTTCTTCTTCTTCTTAGAGTGCCGTCTCCCTACGGAGCTTGGCAATCATAATAGCTATTTTTATTTCAGAACTTACTGCTCTAAACAAATCATCGATCTGCATTGATACCAAAGTAATGCCAATGCAATGAAGTGGTTGGCTGAACACAATTGAAAGAAGAAAACCAGAATATTTTAGAGGATCTTAATATCAACTACTAACAAAAAACAAGTATTGAGGCAGGATTTGGTACCCAAGTCTCACGACCATAGGCTACAGATATTTTGCTGGGTGTACAAAGAAGAACAACTATGACCTTTATCTAAATCAGTCAAAAGCATGCAGCAAAGACATTGCCTTAATATGAAATATGAATGAAAAATAAGTATATCTGTACTATTTAAAAGAGTGGTTCTTAATCATGTGTTAAATAGTATATATTCACTTCTTCGACTTCCAACTATGTATATACAAACATCAGATTCTACTATTTATTCAAATACTACCATAATACCTCTACATATAAAATAAATTGAAACTGCTTAGGTCATTAATTTCCGAAACGTTGCCAGTGGTGAACCTGTCGACGTTTCGGGAATTACAGAGGAAGCAGCTTACCGTGTAGTCTTGTATGGTATACAACCAAAACGTGAAGTTTTGATCGGCATCAACGAATGGTGTTAGTGAACACTGAAACAAGCTCGAGTGTCAATGTTAATTGGCTAAACTAAAGTATACTTTACCTGGCTTCCTATGACTGCGTAGATCAATACAAGCGGAAGTCCGTCTTCGGTATAATCTGCTACTTGTGTATACATTATCGATCCTTTTGCAAGATCTGCTATTAGATTATATGCTTCTTCAGGCCAGGACCCGTCCTCTGCAATGAGGAATATTTTTAGAACAGACTTGCTTATGAGTCCTTAACAAACTGTAATTGCTCAGATTATTTTAGTTCGGAAATATACCTTTGTTCACGAATTTCTATTAAATACCATCTATGATAGTTATAACATTTCTACAAATCTTCAAATCCGATTACAATTCAACTAGATTCAACGGATAATGGAAATATTATTTGAAGAAGCACAATCGGAATTATTAAGGTGTTCAGGTTTCTATTTCAACTGAACTGGTAGGAAGATTTTGTGTCTCTACTCATAGGCACTATACATAAACGCGATAAAAAGCAGATTCAAAGAGATATTGGAAGAGAAAACGAACAACAAAGAACATACAAAATATACAAAAGGTTTTGACAGCAGGAAAAGTCTTGGAAACAGTGCCTGGGATTCTCTTGGAATTATGTTGACCCTGATATCCAATACTGTTTTATGATTTTAATGATACTTTACGATAAACACTAGGAAAAAACTACCAAGACTATTAAAATATGAGAGAAAACGTGATAAAGGAGATAAACTCCTGAACAAAATTAATGCACCACTCATATTTTTCTCAATAATCTTTATTTATTGATAATTTACTGTACAAGTGGCCTATGGACCTTGTTTGACAGTGACACTTGTTATGTAAGCTAATAAAAGTCTTGTTTTAACAATAATTGTGGTGGTTCTAAAATATTTTGGGGCGGAATTTGTTTTGAAGCTCGTACGAAGTTGGTCCACATATGTACGAGGTCTATGAATGTCCATTATTACTAGACAACATTATTGTCAAACATGTAATGCCTTTTGCTCCGTTTTTACCTAATTTTTATTCATTCAAGACCACGCTCGTCCTCATGTGGTTACCTCGACAGGTTATTAGCTACCTAAATGATGTTGATATTCTATTATTAGAGTGGCCACCTAACAGCCCGGACATGAATCCTATAGAGCATATATGGGACTATCTCAAAAAAAAAAAAGATTCGAAGTCGTAGACCCCCTATTGCTAATCAGAACCAACTCATTGAGGCCGTTATGGAAGAATGGGAGAATATTCCGCAAGCTTTTGTTAACATTTGATATCAAGCATGCCTCGACGCATAAATGCAGTCATAAGAAGTGGAGGAGGGCCTACACCGTATTAGTGTTGACCCAGATGCATTTTATTGTGTTACTTTTTGTACTACAATTTGGAGTTATGCTAGCTTATTTACGCATTTCTGGCAAAAACACATTTTTAAAGAAACAACAAGGCAAATTAGGGCCATGATAAAGTCATGTTGGACTTATTTGTAGGTGTTTATTATTATTTCAATGTAACTTAGTTTTATTTTGTGTTCATATTGTAAACATTTAGATTAATTAAAGTGGTGCGTTAATTTTGTCTAGGAGTTTATGATGGAGTGTACAGGGGCCATGGCGATGCACACTTTTTTGTCAACTGTCACTAAATAAAAAAAGAGGTGAAGAGTTTGAGCGTGATATTAGAGTATATATGTTGGCGACTACTGAAGATGGTCTACAACAATTTTAAAGGAGCTATTATAAGAGAAAACGAACAAAAAGGAGCATCAAAGGAGATAAAAAAGATTTTGAGAGCAAGATAGGTCTTGGCAACGGTGCCTGGGGAGTCTCGCGGAATCATCTTGATATTCAATACTAATCTCATATTTTCTCATGAACGATATTCACCGATTATAATCGTGAACTAAAATACATACAAATGCATTCTCTCTGAGATATACAGTTTAGCCTCCTTGTCGAGGAGACAAACACCTGAAGGCATATTTCTCTTGCTCTTTCGCCAGGTACAAACTTCACAAAATCAATTAATTTACAGGAATTTTCAGTAATTTAGTGATAAGTTTGTACCTCCTGAAAAACGCCAAGATAGTAAAATATATCATGAACAAATATGGAACTAAAACAATTAAAAATTAACTAATTTGTGTATATATATTTTTTTAATTATTAATATGTTGTGTATTATCACAGTTATCTAGATATTTATTACATTTTTTTTTAAAAGCAGTGTTCAATGTAAGTAAGGAATTGTAGCTTTTATACAACAGAAATGTTAAACCATTGATCTGTATTATGATAGATATTTTATTATATTCCGTTTCTCATCAATGTATAGTAATATAGTAACTGTATTGTTATAGTCAATTTCATATCAATGTAGAGCATTTTCTGTGGCATAATATGGAATTATAGAACAGTCTGGAACAGTTTTATAGCTTCATGAATCTTCTAAGTGTGTCATCAATTATACAAGAGTATATCTACCAAAAACTCTGCAGGTATCCATCTTCTCATACTTTCAATGATGATGTTAGCCATTTTTTGAAGCAGACTGTCCCATTTTTCATTTACAGTTGTTATTTTTTCGCCAGTCTGTAATAAACGGAATTCTTGACCTTGGTCTTCTGCCCAGTATGTTTCAGGCATGATCAATCGGGTTCAAGTCCGGGGAACATACAGGACAATTAATGACCGGTATTACCACGGTTAAAACGTCTTATGCCCTCTGGTTTTGAAAATGTTAATCTTTTTGTGTATTCGTGATCTGACATCCTAGCAATGTATCCAGCCCTTTTAAGTCTGTTTTTTCCAATATGGGGATTAAAATATACCAAATTGGTCCGTTACAAACAGATTTTGCAGCACAAAAAAACTGGAACTATTACGGTGAATGGAAAAGGGGACTGCAAAAGAAAAGTGAAGGCAAGGCAAGTGTTTATAATGAGAAGTAAATCAAATTCTAAGGAAACAATTCACGAATGTCAGCAAGAATTAATGTTAATGAGTCCACTGTAGGAAAACTGGTTGCACAGGGCAATCTAGCAGAAGTTACTTCACTTAATATAATTTTCTTATATTCTGACATTTTTCATGGTAAATAAGTGTTTAGCAGCAATAAATTGTCAAAACAATCAATTTCGTTAAAAACATGGAAAAATTTTGTGCAAAAATATGGTTTCCTTCTATTATTTGTGCAAAATATTTCATAAATGCCTCGTAGAGGTTCGAAGGAAACCAAACAGACTGCAAAAAAGTTATTAACTGCTGCCAGGATGAAGTGTGGATACGACTGGCCAAAAAAATATTTAAGTTAGAAGTAAAAGATTGTTCAAAATCAATCGCTTCCATCCAAATTATATGCCTTACATTACAAAGGAGTGCCATTGGTGTTCACATAGTCTGTTTGCCCATAAACGATGCTGGTCTACTATGGAGCATGACCCATTGTCTACTGAAGCCTCAAAATAATAGATCATAATTATAAAAAAGTTTCAACATCCATTGAAGTCGGTATTCTGGAGCTGCTATTCTTATAACGGTATCAGATCTCATGCAAAAACGATGATATGGAAGAAAATTACTAGCTAGGAAAAGCTGATGTCACTTTTACGAAGTCATGACGAAATATTTTAAGGACAAATGTTTTAAATGAGAGAGAAACTCACCCCGATTGAAAATATGGAGCCTGCTATAAAAGTTAGACTTCGTAAATTGAAGTTGTACGCCAGATATGGTTTCGACACCACTAAATATTAGAAAACTATAAAAAGTTTGTAGTCCTATCTATTTTTTCTTCGACTAAACCAATAAATATTGTGTAATTAATTGTAAAATGTTTCAAAACTTTCCAATAAATATTGTTGGTACGCCAGAAAATTCTATATCAGCTGTTAATAATTTTATTGTTGTATTACGTATAATATTAACAATTGTATTTTGAAATTTACGTATAATCACGGGTGGAAAAGCAGCAGGAGTGGCTATAAAATTTCCAAAAACAACAAAGAAACAATAGTTAATAAAAAATGCCAAATAAAATATTATATTTAGATAAATCGAGTGACTTGGTAGCAAGTTTATAATAAAAAAAAAAAGTATTGCATGAGTTTTTGAAAATCCTGCTTCGACAGAAGTTGTTATTCGATAAACTAAACTTTCTTCCAATACCAATTACTCACAAATGTCACCGAAAATCACTTTTAGAATATCATATTTGTTCAAATTTAGTTTTAACTGTCTGAAAAATACCAAACCAAAGAAATTAAGACATGTATTGAAATAGCACGTACATCATTTATTAAACTTAAAAAGTTTCTTTGTTGTCGGGATATAAGGTTAGAACTACGCCTGAGAATGCTTCGATGTTACGTGTTCTCTACTCTTCTTTATATTCTGGAAGCTTGGACACTAAAACAAGTTCATCTGAATAAGTTGGCCGCCTTTGAATTTTGGTGTTACAGAAGAATCCTATGAATATCATGGATTCAAAGAATGTCAAACATGGAAGTAACTAGAAGGATAGGAAATGAGGCGGAAATAATATTAACTATTAAAAGACGAAAACTTGAGTACTTGGGACATGTGATGAGAGGGCAAAAATACGCATTATTACAACTTATTATGCAGGGCAAAATCCGAGGAAAGCGAAATGTGGGAAGACGAAGAATATCCTGGCTTAAGAACTTAAGGGAATGGTTTAAATGCAGTAGTGCAGAACTTTTTAGAGTGGCAGTCAACAGAGTCCGCATAGCCATGATGATTTCCAACCTTCGATAGAAGATGGAACTTAAAGAAGAAGTCTGAAAAATGTTTTTGCAGGCAAAGATCTTAGACCTATAATGTATTTGGTGATAAAATGTCAATTTCGATCATTTTTGTACTTGGTGAGTTTTACTTGTCAACTGAAGCTGTCAGTTAATAACTTTGTACGTGTAAAGATTCTGATCGAGCGATAAAATTAGTCATTTGCAATGAATAATGGGCAAGTACAAGTCTTTATCTTTAAAAAACAGACGATAAATCTCTTGATTCTATTTTAGCCGATCAGTTAGTAGATTATGACGAGAAAATGGAGTTGTCCAACTGTAATAATTGTTTTCGTAGTAAGTTCTAGCTTTAAGGTTACTTAAGTATGATAAATTCTGATCAATGGTTAATCTAACAAAAGCTACAATTACCTTATCCGCTAAATACTTACCATTTACAGATTTAATATTAGCTAGCATACATTCGGCTGCCTGGAAAGGTAACAACATGAAGTCACCTCTGATTTGTCTTAGCTGTGAATTATCTACATATGCGAATCCTCCGTAGTCCAAAAATTTGACGTAGGAAGATTCAGCGTCCGACGACAATACCATCGCCCTGTACCAGGCGTGGACTGAGTATGCGGCGCAGATCGTGTTTTCTGGTATGGGGGTGGGTAGTAAGGGGGATTCTGATTGGGAATAACAGGCGTTCATACAATTGGTGAGTAGGTTCAGGCTGGGATACGAGGGATGAGTCGGTTGTTGGAGGAAGAGGTGGTTGGGGGCGACGAGACAGCTAAGGACGGTGTCGTTGTTGACGCCTTCCACCAATTTTAACTGAAAAAAATATATTCAATTATCATTTACCCATAAAAGGCGTTATATTTGTAACATAATAAGAGAATACAAATTTGTAGACTTTATAGTGGACTAAATAGATGACATATTAATTGTTTCAAAATCGTTCCCGGAACATTCAGAAATTTGACATGTGAAATGTGAAAAACAGAAAACGATCAAATCGCAATGGTTTTTCGCACAAATATCCAGGAATAAATTAAAAAAAAATAATAAAAAAAAATTGCACGAAAATTTTACAAAACTAATCTGTAAATTCTGTAAATCCAGCATTGATTGAATCCCCCGTTGCATGATGATGGGCAAAATACTAGTTTATGACAAAAGCGTAAAAATTTCAACTTTTAACATAAACGAATTGGTGGTTGTAGAAAATCGAAATAAATTGAACATAAAATTTAACGAATTAAAAATTGAACCGTATGAAATCACAGAAAAATTATCAAATTTAATTTATAAAATAAATATAAATCGAAAGACTCGGTAAATTATTTCATGTCTCAAAGCTGGTTCAAATCTCAGTAACTGAAGAACAAGAACATGAAGAATATGGTGACTAAAGATTATTAATCTGATAAAAGATTCTGTAAATATTTTCTCCTTTGGGATGGGAGATAAAATGGGCTTTTTCTTGAAGTGCCGTCTCCCTAAGGAGGTTGGCAATCATAATGGCTATTTTTATTTTTGAACTTGCTGCTCTAAACAAATCAATCGATTTGCATTGATACCAATCAGGTAGATTCTTCAACTACGAGTTCTGTCTTCGGCCAACAGATCTTCCTTGAATCTTTCCCTATATTATGAGTCTCAAAAATTCATATTTTAATCCCCTCATCACGTGGCGTATGTATTTCAGTTTTCTGGTTTGTATAGTGGGGATTAGTTCTGTTTCTTTATGAACCCTGTCCAGTACCTCTTTATTTGTAATTCTATCAGTCCATGATATTTTTATTACCTTGCGGTATAACCAGAGTTCGAAGGCCTCGATTCTTTTTAAATTACATTTTTTTAATGTCCAAGTCACAGCTCCATATAATAATATTGAAAATATATAACAGGGAATGGTACGTAGTCTGGTCTCTAAATTTAGATTTTTGCACGTTAGTAGTGGCTTCACTAGTGTACATGCTGATCTGACAATCTCTATTGCCTGTTTATTTCTGCAGTATGATCATTGGTTTCATTGATCAAAGTTCCCAAGTACTGATATTTTTCTACTTGTTCTATCACGTTACCATTGATTGTCAATAGGCGATGTATATTTTGGCGATTAAAACAAATTCCTGTCTAACTCCTCTACAGATCTTCATTTCTTCTGAGTGTTGCCCATCAATTTGAACTATGGCACTTTGGTTCCAATATAATGTTTGCACTATATGATTTTACTGTCAATGCGCTTGTTCATAAGTATTGATATTATTTTTTCATGTCTTACTTTATCGAAAGCTTTTTCGTAGTCAACAAAGCACAAGTGTAGATCAACGTTTACATCCCGACATCGCTGAATCAATATGTCGATGACAAATAGTCCTTCTCGAGTACCCATTCCATTTCGGAACCCGAACTGCGTTTCGCTAATATCCTCCTCTAGCCTTTCGTATATTCTCTTATGTATTACTTTTGTAGTATGACCTATGAGGCTCAGTGTTCGATAATCAGAGCTGTCCAGCTATATTTTCAACTGTACCTACCCCAATTTTTGCAATAAAGTCTCCTAAAATGTAAGTAATATTTCTAGATTCTGTTATCTTGATTGTATTGTGCAATTCTGAATAAACTTTTCGATCTCATCTTCGGTCTTATCAGCTGTGGGAGCATAGACTTGGATCATATTAATATTACAGTTCTGTGCTTGAATTTTTAGCATTATTATTCTTTCTGAGATTTGAATCACACCTAGCACTGATTTTTCACTGATAATGTTGCTTATGATGAAAGCTATAAGCTACTCCGTATCGATGATCAGTTTTGTCTCCTCCAGTGTAATAAATATTGTGGTTATTTATTGATATCTCTCCATTTCCTGACCATTGATTGTACATCGCTAACCCCAAGTATATCTATATTTAGCCTCTCTTTCTCTTTATTAACATTATGTAGTTTCCAGGCTGATACATACTTCTTACACTCCAGGTAGCTGTTTTTATCTGAGAGGGTTGAGTATTTTTTTTTTGCTTTTCGTGTAAAGGTTTTGCATGTTGACAACCCTGCCTTGCGTTCTGATGGTTGTCCTCCCCTGCCGCATTTTGGTCTCCGATTACCATAATCAACAATGTTTCTTGTGCAAATAGTAGTAGGTAGTTGGATACTGAAGATCTAGATCCAGACAGAGATACGTAGCAGGATTGAGCAAGCCAGAACAGCATTTACTAATATGAGAGCCTTGCTAAGCAACAACAGCCTCAACTTAACGCTTCGATATCGCTTTGTAAAATGTTACATTTACTCCATACTGCTATATGATGTAGAAACCTGGACCATAAAGGCCAATGTGATGAACCGATTAGAGGCCTTTGAAATGTGGGTATTTAGAAGACTACTTAAATTCCCTGGACAGATCACACAACAAATGTCGAAGTATTAAATCGAACGGCCAGGGACCTAGAATTGCTGCCAATAATAAAAAGAAGAAAAGCGGCTTATCTGAGTCATATATTTCGAAATTCCAAGTACCAGTTCTTAAAGCTTATTATGGAAGGGAAGATAGAAGGAAAAAGGGGCATCGGAAGAAAGAAATACTCATGGCTTAAAAACATAAAAGATTGGACAAACGTCGATGCCCATGCTTTAGAGCCACACAAGATCGAGAGGAGTATGCCAGAATTGTCGCCAACATCCACTAATTGGATAGGGCACCATAAGAAGAAGTGCAAATAGTGCTAGCCATTATAATTTATACTAAAGATGTCATCAGGGACCTTTAATGCAGTGGTTTCTCGTTGCCTTCTGCATTCTGATGCCGTTGACCACTTTCTTGGTTCTTCCGCTTTCGAGACCAATTTCTCAGTCTCAGGACAACAGAGTGTCCTTCCGCTTACTAGCTCATCTGCCCTAAACTATTGACCAGTAAATGGTGGATTGCTTATCCCGGCATATAATGAGTTCACGATTACAAATTTCAAATAATGCCGCGCTGTCACAAGCGTCGGCGCATTAGATCGAAACACGGTCAGCTGTTCCATCAAATCGGAACATGTGCAAGTTGACGGTTATGGAAGAACGTGTATTAGATGCTGTTTTCTTTATTCGCAGGTAAAAATTTGTACAAATATTGAAATTTGATATTTCAATAACTTAGCTGTGTCATTAATCATATCAGCAACCTTAAAATATATATAATTGTGAACCTTGTTAACTGATAAACGGAAAAAACAAAACATTATTGGTATAATTTACCGCCTTAACTAATTAAAAATTTTATGAATTAAATAACAATTTAAACAATACAAAAAATAATGAAAATTCAACTCGTTTAAAAAATATAAAATGGACCTCCAACCTTGTAAGATCAATATGTCGTAAGCTTTAACATGTACGTTCAAAAATATAATGTTGATCTCCACTAGTAACACTCTTAGTAATTCGTAAGAATGGGTTGCAAAAAAGAGATTCTTTTATATAGCACTTTTTACAAAAAGTTCGGTACTTGTATCCGTATCTAACAGTTTTTGCAGGTGCATCTACATTAGAAAAAATCCTGTTTAATAAAGATACTTAAGAGGAAAGCCCATCAAAAAGACCTAAATGAGTAATGTAAAAATTGTACACTTACATATAAATGATCAGAAATTAGCGACACTGTTGGTACTTCTGGAACCAAATGGACCTCTTCCAAAGTGATTTCCGGATACCTTTTGGCAGGGAACTTATCTCTGACCATCTTCAGTGCACTGTCTATTTCCGTTCGCGTACCTTCTACCAAACAAAGCTTCATTTTGTTGTTGGTGGGATGTGCTCTAACGATGATCAAGGCGTTAGTTTTGTCCTTGATTTGCGTGACGAAACAGCCGTGTCTGCCTATTAATTTTCCTACTAACGATTGAGGAATGACGAACTCGTACAAGGTCCTTACGTTGCTGGAAACGTCGATTCCTGGGGTACGGGATGCGGGGGGTGTCGCAACATCGCTACCGCCTTTGCCGCTATCACTGGAGCCCTACAATATAAAATTTGTTATTAGATTCTCTCTATATTTACTTATAACTTGATCATAAACATAAATGGAAAAAGGGATGTTCCGCACAAAATTTAATTAAAACCATAATCTACCTCTACCATTTGGTAAAAAAACCAGTTGAATCAAATTTCCTAAAGTTATAAATACTATTATAATGACTATCCACCCCAAGTTAAATGTGGTCGAGATAAAAGAACCTCGTGTCTCAATAAACTGCGTCAATGGTATGGATATCAGTGGTATGGATGAAGGGATTACATAGACATTCAATATCTATAATACAGTAACATTTGCTCTGTCGGAGAAACTTAATGCAAAAAGTGTGGGAAATATAGAATCTTTAGTTTAACAGTAATAGAAAACGCGAATAACAATTGATCCATTCAAACTTTAGTTTTAGGAATGCTGCAGATACAAGGGAAGCACTTTTTGCTTAATGAATGATTTTCCAGTGATGCAAAAAGCATTTATAGAGCAAAACACATAAACTGATATCTTATTAACGAGCACTGGCATCGATGACAGAGATCTAAGAAGAATCAGCAACCTGTATAATGATCGAGCAGAAAAATCAGGCAAGACAACCCACTGAACGAAGCCTTTACTATCTTATCACCTCAACTTTATAATATCTACTACGAAGAGATATACAAAACAACCCCGGAGAAGATATCGATGAGGCGTACTGAAAAATTTCAGATATATTGAAATAATCTTCACAGATAGCATGCAAAAGGTGGCACTAAATAGAGAAGGTAGTTTGTTAAAGAATGTAAATGTAAAATTTTCAAGGCCCATGATTCGGCAACGAAAAATTGAAATGAGCCTTCTTCGGCGTTACATTTTCAATTCTTCTTTACGGGGTTGAGTCTTGAACACTAAGCGAAGCATCACTTAAATGACTGTAGGCTTTTGAGATGTGGTGCTAGAGAAGAATGTTGGGAATCTCCTGGGTGAATCGAATCCCATCTGGCTTTTGTTGATCTTAAGACGGCATATGACTCAATACCTAGAACCAAGCTATGGGAAGCAATGGAAGACATCGAAGTTCCACGAAGATTAATAAACGCGGTAAAAGCACTCTACAAGAATAACGAAGTAGCTATCAAAACGGGCAATAGAATATGCAGTCCGTTTAAAACGACAAAGGGACTACTACAGGGTTGCTCCACATTCCCCACCCTGTTCAAAATATTCCTGGAAAAAACCCTGAAACCATGGAAAAGAAAGTGCGAAGGAATGGGTATACCAGTAAGGAACGAATATCTATATACGCTAAGTTTTGCTGACGACCAAATAGTGATCGCACAAGACGAGGATGACCTCAGTTTTATGATGAGAAAACTGGAGCAGGAATATACAAAGAATGGGATGGAAATAAACCTAAAGAAAACTGAATACCTAACAACGGAGAATACAGAAATAAAACAGCTGGAAATAGACGAAGGTAAACAAATCAAAGGAACAGACAAGTATAAGTATTTAGGTTTCATAATATCAAACAAAGGAACAACGGAGGAAGATATAAAAAATAGACTAGGACAAACAAGAGACTGCATACGAAAATTGAACCCGGTACTATGGGATAAGAACATCAGCATGAAAACAAAGAAAAAAATATATAATACCATGACAAGAAGTATCCTCACTTTGGTGTGAAAATTGGACAATAAATAACCAAAAACAAATAGAGCAACAGAGATGGAATTCCTAAGGAGAAGCTGCAGAGTAACAAGAAGAGATAGAATAAATAACATGGAGATTAAGAGGAGAATGGGAATGAACTCCGACATAATAGACTACATCGAACAGAAGAGGTTAACCTGGTACGGACATGTCAGAAGAGCAGACCAAAATCGGTGGATAAATAGAATAACAGAGTGGAGCCCGATAGGAAGAATAAAGAGAGGCAGACCCCGAAGATCTTTCAGAGATGAAGTGGACGAAGCAATGAGAAGAAGAAACCTACAGGAAGGGGACTGGCTCAACAGGAAAAATTGGAGAAAACGGTTGAGTGAAGGAATACAGTGAAAACTGTGGAAATCCTTGTATATATATATTGAAGAGGAAAGTGGTGTTGCTTGTAGCAACTAATGGAATAAGTTATTACAAAAACTAATTTATTAAATTTCAATATGCTAAACTTTTAAGCAGAAATGTCTGTAGTTATCTTCACACAACCTGATGTAGGTTACCACCGATATTTTCATACACGTCTCTGGAATGCCACGTATGAAAACATCTGTTACAAATAATAAGTATTTGAATTGTTCCAAAAATTGACAGTTTTTGATGTGTTACGGAATAAAGTCCCACGAATAAAACTTTATAAATATTTTGGATGGTTTCAACATACACGTAAACAATACCACTACCATATTTAAATAGATAATTAAAGAGATAAACAAATAGCACTAGTTGGCAATTTAAATATCCCAAATGTATAGAAAACTCTAACTAATCTAATTCTTTTTAACTTTTTATTAATTTATGTAAGTAGGTATCTAGTTTGGAAAAAATACCTTGAAGTGTTTGTCGATCATAAGTGTCATCTCGAAAACAATTCGATAAATTCGAATTTTCCATTGAATAGATAACAATCGGCACTACATATTGTTAACATCGAAGTACTAAGGACAGACTAAATAAAAAACGAATGCATAACCACGTCAAAAGCTTATCAGTTTAGAGGTGGGTTAATAATTGTATGTGATATATAGGTATACAATAATGAGTAGCGGTTGTTTTTGTCGAACTTGTACGGTGAAGTAGAGAACAATTTTTGTTGACACTACAATGAAGGACATGTAGGTATGGTTTTTTTCAGAGACTTCTTTTCTTCTTCAAGTTCCACTCCTATCGGAGATTGGAAATCATTCTGGCAATTATAATTTTATTGGTTACTCGCCTGAATAGTTCAATTGAACTGCATCCAAACCATTCACGGAGATTGCGTAGCCACGAGATTTTACGTCTTCCTACGCTTCTTCTACCTTTGATTTTTACCCTGCATTATATTCCTTAGTAGTTCGTACTTTTCACCTCTCATGATGTGCCCCAAGTATTCCAATTTCTTGATTTTTATGGAATTTAAAACTTCGCATTGTTTTCCTAGTTGTTCGAGAACTTGTTCGTTTGTTTTGCGATCCATCCATGATATTTTCAGAATACGTCGGTAACACCACTTCTTCTTCTTTAGTCACCAGACTTCTTTTAGTAGTGCCATATTGTTTTGTTTTAGGCAAGTCGAGAATTATTACATGTTATCGGTATTTTTAAATATTCAAAAGATTAGATGGGTTAGGTTGTCCACTATTTTATTGGTCTGTTTCTTCTGCTTTTCTCTATTGGTTTAGCTTTCTGTTCTCTTTCACTTCCCTGTTACTATAAATCCGTGTTGTATGACCCAACCATGCTGCAGTACTGTGCGAATTAATGGAATCATAGACTGTTCTAATGAAAAATAGCTTATAGGGCTAGACAACTTAACCATCCTAAAAGCAGAAGTTCACTCTACCGGTGGGACCCGAACCTGTGATTGGAAAGCCCTTCAGTACTTCTGCGGAGGTTCTAAGATTCCTGAGCCAATATGAGACCAGGCTAAAATCCACACAGTGGGGCCATCCAAAAGTCTTACAGCTTAACTTCTCCTTCTAGACTGTAGAAGGTGCTCTTTGGTGGTCAGTAAGCATGTTTACCGGTCACTGTAAACTCAGGCGGCACCTTCATCTGCTTGGATTGATGTATAGCTCACGGCGCCCTCTTTGTAAGAGGAGGAAACCTCCTCACATGTCCTCTTTAGGTACCCGGCACTGGCCTACCAGAGGTGGCATATCCTGGGTTGGATCTTTATGCAACCGAGCCACATCAGGAAGTTATTCTTAAAAAGACTTGTGGCTTTCTGTGAGGCCACAAGTTAACTGAAGGGTTAAACGTTCAGAACGGCAGAAAGGGCTCAGACTTGGAGCCCCTGCAGATTACTGCAGTTATGGGAGCCCGGAACAGCCTGGGCTCCAGAACGCCGAAGTATAGGTTCTTATGGGCCTATTCCGTATGATAGCGGTGATACAATAGACCCGTCTTAAGAGGTCAAGGTGTCTAAAGGGCTCATAAATGGGTCCTACCCCAATCTACCACAACCAAAATCCTGGACGATGATGCTACATTAGTTGAACATTCCAAACGCATCAGCGAAACAGTAACTGACCAATTAACATAGTCGTGCAATAGGATATATGAAATCCGGAAAGTTCTAGATTTAAGAACAATGAAAAAGCTATCGAGTCACCATTGCTCATATATCAAATCACTAAAAGTCGCTAGTTTATACTTATTTGAGTATTGAAAGTTCGGGAAAATTTTAAAAGACTGAGGACCTTAGGTCTACTGGATATGATGTTGATCTCCACTAGTAACACCCTTAGTAGTTCGTAAGGATGGGTTGCAAAAAAGAGAACATTTTATGTAGCACTTTATAGTCTTTAACAAACAATACATCTAGTAGTATTATTTGTAGGTTGTAAGTGCAGAAATTTACTGATTGAAAACAAGGCAACATAGCAGTAAAAATAATAAGTTTATGTGAACAAATTTAGAGAACAATTTAGATAACTGTTTGTTTAAAGTTTGTCTGTTACGATTTACGTCAGTATTTTCTACTCATTCAGTCATTCCGTGATCAATGGCACCTATTTGAAATATAAAATATCCACGTAATAGAATGTAAGCTTGTTTCCTAAAATTTGACTCACCATACGCAATTACACTAACGATAAACATCTATATAACAAATATTAACATTTTAAGACAACTTACCTCACTGTGGTTGTCTGAAATACTGCTCAATGAAGGGCTGGCTAACATAACATCGGAGGGACTGTGGTTAGCTGAATCTCTTTCACTGTTCTGTCGTTGCAGTTCTTCCGAATCTTTTTTACTATTACTATTTTTGTGTTCTCTCTTTTTGGGAGTTTCTTTATTTTTGCTAATTTTCAGAGAAGTCAATTTCTCTTCGACGATAGCGATATCTTTTTGGGCCATCTTTCCTGCTTCTTTCTTCTGGTTCTTTTTTGACTTGGGTTTGCTTTCTTTGTTGTCTCTGTAGGTGGACGATTTGGACTTATTGGGTATTGGTGAGTCTATTTTAGCGGGAAACAGTGAACCGTTCTTCATCGATTTGATCTTTTCGATTTCGAAATCGAGATCTTCGTCCGAGACGACACGTGGAGTAGACTTAGTAGCCCTTAACTCAGGTGGTATGATTATATCTATAGGAGTCGATTCTACTCCAGAAAGTGATCTCGAAAACGATTTGCTCGGCGAAGATTGAGAAGAGTCGTGCTCGTCGGCTTCTTTCAATTCCTCTTCTAAAGATTTCTCTGTGAACACTTCCTCTTTATGTGTAGGTGATTTATTATCGCCTGGGTCACTTCGAGCTCCAATTCTCTTCCTTTTGTACCACAAATAGCTGAGTAAAACGACTGCAGTTGGCAATGTCCACGCTAGTAAATGACGAGAATGGGGTGGGGCCATAACTTGATCGATCCACGATTATTTTCTTCAAGAACGACACGACCCTGAAAAAAAAAAGAACTACTTTAGGCATTTACTTCGTACTACATTATGACATATAGATCATAGTATGAAAATAATTTATTTATAAAACAATTAAATCGTACGAAAGGCAAAAGAAATTACATATTGTTACAGTTATTTTAACTGTAACTAAGTAAATTAGTAATTTTCATTGAATCCCTTATGTACTGAGAATATATTTCTATAAAACAGCTCAGAAAAAAAACAATAGCATTCAAGGCTGAATTCCACATTGTATTCGTGAATCTCCCAAAGGCCTATGATAGTGTCCCATTCAACAACATGTGGAAAGCAATGTATAACCACGGAGTAAATAACATCTACATAAATGCCGTAAAATCACTTTACGAAGAGAATGAATGTAGAATAAAAGTCGAACAAAATACTCAGAAAAGTTGATAAAGGACTTCGACAAGGATGCTACCTATCACCAACCTCATTTAAATTTTATATAGATGAAACACTAAAAAACTGGAACAAAAAATATGGCAGATAGTATTAAAAGACGAATAAAAAAGCTAGAAGAAGAATTTGAAATAGTAAATGAAATATTTGCTGTGTTCAATTCTTACTCCATGTAATAACTGGATAAATCACGTGTGGAAAATAATCTTAAGCACGTGGTGTTCGTGTGTATCAAGGTATAAAAAATGCTTATTAAAAGCTTAAAACTTTTATTTTAAAGAAGATCTTTTCGGAATTGAATCATTCCATCATCAGTTTAATAAAAAGTTGTTAAAAACATTGTTTGGCCACAGAAAAACAATAGAAGGACATCAGTAACAACAACAATCCTCATGGAATTTACAAAGGTAAATGTAATAGACCGTTAACTTCGGTAATTAATAAAAACTGAAAATGGGGGCATCTAACATGACCCCCAGGAGCTGGTGAGATTTTGTTGACTTACATTACCTCTGATCTGTGCTGGAGTCTAGTAACCTAGACTATTTACCTATTGTAAATTCCATGAGGATTGTTTTTGTTACTGATGTCTTTCTATTGTTTTTCTGTGGCCAAACAATGTTTTTAACAACTTTTTATTAAACTGATGATGAAATGATTCAATTCCGAAAAGATCTTCTTTAAAATAAAAGTTTTAAGCTAATTAGCGTAAGTTAATAGCATAGTTTTAATAAGCATTTTTTATACCTTGATACACACGAACACCACGTGCTTTGGATCCAACAGGTATACTAGCCACTCCTGGATATCTCCACTTCATGGTTTTGTTCCAGTTTCACTTTTAAAATAATCTTACTTACAGTTATTAACAATAATAAATAAATTAAAAAATGTGATAGTATAATTAGCATTATACGGATATTAATTATTATAAAATTATTAAGAACTTTTTTTGGTGTTAACAACTTAATAAATTCTCGTATTTCTGATGTGAATACTAATCAACAAGACACACCTACTTAATTGTTTATTATTTATGGCCATATAGTTGGTTACTATAATAGTAGACATAAAAATAATGGGTAAGTAGATAAAGGTATATTTGTAAAATTGGGATCTACATAAGCAAAAATATAGAATATTTTAACTTTTGTAATACTAATTGTATAGACTTCTGTTTATTGACAGGATAGGTCTTCTTCTTCCTTTTTGTATCTAGGCTTTAACGCCTGTTTCTTCTTCAACACTAGCCTCTTAAATTGTTTAAATTCTCGCACCATCTTTTTCTTGATCTGCCAATACTTCATCCATTTGGTTTTCGCTTCTCTCCCTATCTAACAAACTTTTCCCTGATATTCGTCGGAGTATTTTCATCTCTGTTGTTTCTAGCAGTCGTCTCGTTTTAGATGTGTCAGGTCTTGTCTCCGCCATGTATGTTAATATAGGTCTAATTGCTGCTTTATAGATTCTTGTTTATTCTTCCAGATTGTGTCATTAAGGGATCCCGTCGCTTAACTTGCTTTTAACCTTTGTTTGTCCAGACGTTTGTCGAAAAATGTCGATTTCATACCTACATGATGAAACTTGTTTTAATCTATATTGTCACGCATGCCTTAGTCTGCGGATCAATGAGCACGTCGATACGCATCGCCTTTATGTTCTATACAATTTACGATTGGCCAAATTGACTTGGAAATGCACATATCGATACGAAAGAAAAATGTATAAAGGGGTGCATTTTCCAAGCCAAGGCGGGCTAGTCTTGTTCCGGCTCCCACATAGGCTCTCCTATATCCTGAGAGCCCTCTTCACAGGGCTATGCTCTCCACTCGTCCTTAGGACTCTTTTGCTTGAACATTTCTACTACCAAACTGTGTTTTATTCTAAGAAATTACCTAACTCACCAAATTAGAAGAGAAACACAGAAGAAACTTCGATTGGGCTAGTCGAAGCCCTCTGCAGAGCACCTATAGAGCAGATATGGGTTAATTCTTGCCAAGACCCAAACCTCCTTACGGTGAATTGGCGCCCAACGTGGGGCGCCATATCACCAAGTGTGAAGGAAGAGCCTGGAAAACTACGGCCATCAATTTCCACGGTGCCTTAGAGAGGGACTTCGACCAGTCCATTCGAAATGTCCTCTGCTTATGTTATATCTTTGGTGGAATATTGGTATTTTTCACATGTTGTGTTGATGATGGAACCTATATTATTCGTAATTAACTAATCACATGGTAAATTCATTAAAATTTAGATGTATGTATTTTATTTTGTCCCATTATATAGCTGTAATAGAAATCAGACTTTAATCAGTTAATTTTAATATCATCTACCTACTCTGAATTTAATTATGGCAAAATAATGAAACTGCTCAACAATATTTTTGTCAGTTAGTGTTCGCATTTTTCTGCATTATTTTTAACACGTCGCTTCCTGCTAGTCAAAACTAACATACTTCTACACAAAAATCCGTCTAATTGCAATAATTTCACACTTGTAATACAATTTAACTCGCCAAGTTCAGTTTAGCATCTTAGTCGAGCAGTGGAGTTCATCACCTACTAATTACGAAATAGTGGTTAACGATTTGAATAAAAAATAAAGTGGAGTCGTCTTTCCAATTAAAAGTTTACGGTACATGAGACAGGGTCTGTTCGCTTCCTTTAGAAGTTACAAGATAAGATATTCTTCAATAAGTTGTACACCAAAAGTAAACGTTGATTTTACCTCGGATGATGAGTTAATTCGTCGAAATTAAGTCTTGCAAAAATTTAAAAATAAAACTACGGCACTTCAACATTCTAGATTTTTGTCAAAAGATCGTCAATCACTATCGTGCTCATAGATTTCTCACTTCCAGATTGGAAGAGGAAGCGTGAATAAAATGTGTAAATTAAATTACCATAATTGTGGTATATTTAAAAAAAAAAGTAGAACTCGACAGAAAGGTTATTGTCTAAAAAAAAACGTCTGTATTAAGCTCCTTAATTATCGGACCACGTATTCAATTTTTTCGCCACTCATCAATAGATTATTGCTAAAATATTCCGTATGTGTTCTTAACAAATAAAGATTTAATGTTTTCCTGGTACAAATATTTTATTATTTGTGTACACTCGGATTTAAATATAAAAATGATTCAAATCTTTTAATGCCTTCCTATTTTTAGCGCGTTTGTTGTGAAAAAAAGCATAAACTTTTATTTCAGTAAACACGGACGGTATTTTTAGGACATTATCGAATCAAAAATCCGAAATATCGTTCGCTCTAATATATTTCATGGACATATTGTTCGAATTGCTCTGTAGATAGACCGTACTTACAGAAAATTTGGACGCGTCTCAACGATTTGTGCGTTTTGAGTAATTGAACTGAAATATGTGTTGCTTAACTGGTCATTTATTTTTATTCGTATGCGTGGAGTACGATTTATTTTTAGGATATAAAAATGCATTAACCTTAGCTTACATTTTGATCATCTTTCTTTACTATATCTCATTATCAAACGTTGATAATAAAGCTAGTAATAATAACTTTGTTTCATCAGCTTTGAATAGATCATTGGACGTCTGGTGATACCTCTGTCGAAGGATTCGAAGCCAGGATCTTCTTCAGCCTGGATCACTTTCTCGAATAGAATGGATTTTCAAATTTTGTTTGCCCTTTTCTACCGTTTATGTTTATAAGAAGTATCTGACACTGTTTAATTACGCCATTATGATGCCAAAACCGTTTTGTCACCCTACACAGTGGAGATATTTGCAATGCAATACTGGCATAAAATAAAAACTTAGAGAATCAATAAGAAAAAACACTTCCCGCATCCTAATTACTTTCAAATCATCTGTTACCCAATACCAAAACTAATTTGCCATTTTATATAAACGTATTTTTCGTACATACTAATTACTTTTACGAGGACGAGTCGCAATATAACGAGCCTTCTTCCTTTTACCTTGAAACATAAAAAGCAATCCCGGCATATTAATGGCGTTTAAAAGCTTCAGTATTATCCTCGCAGTTTTTCTAGTTAGTCACGCTACTGGAATTTGGCTAGACATTTTTGTTGCGCAAATTGTTATGGTTCGTCGTCCTTTTATTTTAAATAGTAAGCGCTAACTAACAAAGAAATTAATAATAATACAGAGCTAACGAAAAACTCTTAATTAGGCTAGACTATGTATAGTGTGACCATCCCAAATTCTGTCAACTCTGTCAATTCTGTAGATCATTTTTTTATAATCATCAAGGCATTAAATTTAGTAAGTGACATCAATTTTATATTAAAATAGAGAATTTATAGATCTCAATCTGTAAACACGCTGGATAATGACATAGGGTTCAATTGAATAATTCAAATGTAGTCCTAAAAGAAACGGATGGTAAAAAAGAAAAATTAAAGAAGCGGCTCTAATATGCTAAATGAGGCCAATTATGTCGCAAATTCCTCAGCAGAATGTAGTAGGATCTGGTTACCAATATTGAAAGAGGAAGTTATTAATAAGAAAACACCATTATTAGTAAGTCAGTAACATATAGAGGATACATCATTTAGTTTTTTAAATAACGTAACATA